CCAAAAAAAAAAAAAAAAAAGTAGGTCTACCCTATCAAGAACTGGGTGCTGAGAAATCTGTGAACAGGATCTAATGGAGTCTTTTATGTCCCTGGTAGGACGGCCTTAGCAAGATTTCGCCAAGCCCAGTTGGAAGAGGGAAAAGTGAAGGTTGGTGTAAATCTTCCTCATAAATTGCAAAGTATCAAGAGAAATGCAGTGAAATTCCTTAGGTAGAGCTTGCAATCCAAATCTTCCTGTCTGTAAGGCTGATGCTCTTAAAAGAGGCTGCTTGCTTGAACTCCAGGTAATCCTTTCCGTAGTGGAAGTAGTGTGCTTATTCAATGTTCAATAAAAGGAAAAGAGTGGGATGTAGGACCAGATGAAATACTATAAAATCATGGAGACTCCGTAAGATTAAGGACAGTATTCAACTTTTAGATGTTTTTCTTTCTGCTTTGGGCACTAAATCATAGGCATTGTCACCTTACAGGAAACATAAAGGAGGCATACTAATCAGAAAGCCATCCAGCTCTCACTTAAATCCAAGGCCAAGTTCTGTAATGAAGAAGATGGCTGACTTGATTGTCTTCCCATGTGCCACGTGCTCTTTTCTCTGTTTATTATTATTTCCTAATAATTTGTGTGTGTGTGTGCGCGCGTGCATGCACCTGTGTTTGCTGGTACTGGGTCTTGAACTTGCAGCCTGTGAGCTGTCTCTGGGCTCTTTTTTTTTTTTTTGCCTGTCCTGAGGCTTAAATTCAAGGCCTGGGACTGTCTCTAGCATCTTTTGCTCAAGGTTAGCAATCTCCCACTTGAGCCATAATTCTTGTAGTTAATTGGAGCTAAGAGTTTCACAGACTTTCCTTGCCCTGGCTGGCTTTGAACCATAATCCTCAGATCTCAGCCTCCTGAGTATTTAGGATTATAGGTGGGAGCTACCAGTGTCCAGCTCTAATAGACCTTTGATTTTTAAAAATTTCTTATACATACACATGTGTATATGTGTTCCATATTTACATGTTTATTTTTAACACAGCTATAATTTCTTAAGATAGTACAAATATACCATGAAATAGATAAAATGTGACTTATTTAGCCTTTTTTTTTGCCCTTACTGGGACTTGAACTCAGGGCCTGGCTGCTACTCCTTAGGTTTTTTGCTCTAGGCACAGCTCCACTCTGGCTTTTTGGTAGTAAATTGAAGATAAGAGTCTCAGACTTTCTTGGCTTGGTTGGCTTCAAACCTTTATCCTCAGATTTTAGCCTCCTGAATAGCTAGGATTACAGATGTGGGCCACTGCTATTTAATCATTTGGTTTTGTTTTTTTTTTTAACTAGATAATATCCACCATTTCCCTGTATTAGGTGCAGTGCAGTGAATGTTTGTGTTTGTGTGGCTGAGGGTCATGTGGAATGGAATGATACATAAGCTTATAACTAGCATAGTAGAAACATGTAATATTATATTTCTTAGGAACGAAGACCTTTCCTTGCTTCAGAATGTACAGAGTTGCCAAAAGCGGAGAAGTGGAGACGACAGGTATATTCTGGGTAAATCTGATCTAAATGGAATTAACAAGCATGTGGTTGCTTCTTTTTATATAAATAGTTCTTAAATCAGAATTCTAAGCCGGGCTCTGGTGGCTCATGAGTGTAATCCTAGCTACTTAGGGAGATCTGAGGCTCTCCATTCAAAGCCACCTCGGGCAGGAAAGTCCATGAGACTCTTATCTTCCATTAACTACCGTAAAACTAGAAGGGGCGCTGTGGCTCAAGTGGTAGAGCACTGTCCTTGAGCTGAATAGCTGAGGGACAGGGCCCAGGCCCAGAGTTAAAGCTTCATGACTGGCCACCCCCGCCCCCCCGCCCCAAACAAAACAAAACAAATGCAGTGCTACCTGTAAGCTTTTATTTTTCTCATCTGTTAAAAGAGGGTTTCTGGTATCTGCTTTAAAGCTTTGTGTTGAGGACAGAGTTCAAGCCCAACAACTGACTAAATAAATCAGAATTTTAAGTGTTTTTAACTAGTACTTTTAAATTACAGTTTTCTTGTACTTTCAGACATAAAAAGTCTTGAAAATGAACTCCTATTTACTTTTTTTTTTAATAGATCATTGGAGAGATCTCAAAAAAAGTAGCTCAGATTCAGAATGGTAAGCTAACTTGTCTCTTTAGTGTGATTCTTACTTCTACACTTAGACTGGGGACTCCAGCACTTCTCTCAGTAATCAGTACGACAAACCGGAGAACTGGAAGGATACCAAGAGCTGAATAATGCTATTGGTCAGTCTGACCGCGCTGACAGTTACAGAGAAGAGCACCTGAGAACACTTCTAACAAAGCCTCACCAATCTCACCCCTCCATCACTCTCCCCAACCCTTCCCACCCTCATTTAAAACAACCTCAGCGGGTTTCATTGTTCTGTTTTCCTGCATGCATACAAAGTGCTTTAACCTATACACCCTCCTTTATCCTCTCCATTCACCCTCCTGCTTCCTATTGTTATCACCCTGCAACTGCAAACAGTCTGTTGTGTGTGTATGTATGTGTGTCTGTGTATGTTTGTGCTTGTTTTTTTTTTTTTTTTTTTTGGTCCGGTCGGTCATGGGCCCTGAACTCTGGGCCTGGGCGCTGTCCCTCAGCTTTCAGCTCAAGGCTAGCGCTCTACCACTTGAGCCACAGTGCCACTTCCGGCTTTTTTCTTTTTGCTTATGTGGTACTGAGGAATCGAACCCAGGGCCTCAGGCATGCGAGGCAAGCGCTCTACCACTGAGCCACCTTCCCAGCCCCATGTTTTGTGCTTGTTTTGGGGCTTGAATTCTGGGCCAAGGTACCATCCCTGAGCTGTTTTGCTTGAGGCTAGCACTTAACCACTTGAACCACAGATCCACTTCCTGCTTTTTGGTGGTTAATTAGAGATAAGAGTCTCATGGACTTTTCTGGGCTGGGTTCAAATCTTGCTCCTCAGATTTCAGCTTCTTGAGTATCAACTAGGATTATAGGCATGGCCACTGGTGCCTGGTGCTTGTGCTCAAGTTCATTTTCTCTCTCTCTCTCTCTCTCTCTCTCCCTTCCCTCTCCCTTCCCTCTCTCTCCTTCTCCCCTCTCTCTGTATATGTGTGTGTGTGTATATATGTATATATATACATATATATACTTACATATATATTATTTATAAGATATACATTGGCAAGAAAGAAATGTACTAATTTAATTGCCTGACTTACGTAACTAACCTCTCTGTACATAACCTTTATTTTTATTTTTAATTTTTGTCATGGGGCCTGAACTCTGGGCCTGGGCTCTGTCCCTCAGCTCTTCAGCTCAAGGCTAGCATTCTACCACTTGAGCCACAGCGCCACTTCTGGCTTTTTCTGCTTCTGGGGTGCTAAGGAATTGAACTCAGGGCCTCGTGCATGCAAGGCAAGCGCTCTTACCACTGAGCCACCTTTTCAGCCCCTGTACATCACCTTTATAATAACAAAAAGTTAATGGTTAAAAAATTATAAGATGTACACATACACACGCATGTTTTTTTTGTTTACTATTTTATGGTATTGAGCTTTGAACTGAAGTCTTTCTGTTTGCTAGGCAAGTACTCGCTATCATTTAAGTTGTTCCCCAGTCCTGCGTATGCTGTTTTTTTTTAAGGCATGAGTCACCAGCTCTTAGCTTGTTATTTGTTTTGTTACTTGGGCTGGCCTCAAATTCCTGAGCTCAAGCAGTCCTTCTGCCTTAGCCTCCCAAATAGTTTAGAGTTAAGGCACACACCACAATGCACTGCTGACCTTTTCTACGGAGTTTTATCTAGGATAAAATGAACCCATTCTCAGCTTACATTTACATCACAATGTAAACTGCTACCATAAGATATAGATAAGCTCCTGGCTCCATATAGTTCCCACTTGTTCATTTCCAGGAGTATTTCCTATCCATCTCCATTAGCTGGTCAACGCTGCTGGGTTCAGATTGCCCCTGGCAAGAGCCTGTGTGCTTCCTTTCAACCCATCAGTGGTCACCACCATCCTCTTTTCTCTGGTGGATTCCTGGCTGTGTCCAGATCCTGCCCACCACAAACAGCACACTTCAGCATGCTCCATTTCAGCTAGTGGTTTATTGGAGATAAGAGTCTCTTGGAGTTTCCTGCTCAGGCTGGCTTTGAACCATGATCCTCAGATCTTAGCCTCCTGAGTAGCTAGGATTACAGGCGTGAGCCACCTGTGCCTGGCTTGCTAATGAAGTTTTTTGTTAGGGATTTTTTTTTTGTCCTGTGTGTAATATTCTCTAATTACTTTTTAGTTTATTTGTCTAGTTGTGGTTTTCTTTTCAATTTAAATTCTATTTTTATGTAGTACATGCATTTGGGGCTGTCAACATTCTTTTTTTTGGTCAGTCGTGGGACCTGAGCTCAGGGCCTGGGTGCTGTCCCTCAGCTCTTCACCTCAAGGCCAGCTCTCCACCACTTGAGCCACAGCACCACTTCCAACCTTTTCTGCTTATGTGCTGCTAAAGAATCGAACCCAGGGCCTCTTGCATGCGAGACAAGCACTCTACCATTGAACCACCTTCCCAGCCCCTCAACATTCATTTTGAAAGTAGGAAAGTAAGAATATGTTAGGGTGTCAACATTCATTTTGAAGAAATGATATTAACATTTCTGCCTTCTAGCTGGTTTAGGTGAATTCCGAATTCGAGACCTGAATGATGAGATCAATAAGCTGTTAAGAGAAAAAGGACACTGGGAGGTGCGGATCAAAGAACTTGGCGGCCCTGATTATGGAGTAAGTAAGCCACCGTTCTATTCCTGTTGGGGCCAGCTGGTGAGTGTGTGGCAGATTCACCCAGCTCTGCACATCCTGAAGCCTTGCTAAGCTTCCTGTAGGAAGCTAAAGCCACGTGGTAGCGCCTCTGTTGCATGTGAGTAGGACATATATGCAGAGCGTAGGGGAAGGAGGCTGAGGCCTGAGGGTCTTGGAAGCCGGTCTGGTAGACAAATTGTCAAGACTCTTGTCTCCACAGTTATTTAGCAAAACAGGAATGGGAGGGGTGGTTCAGGTGATAGAGTACCATCTGTAAGCAGAGAAACTTGTGAGCATGAGGCCTCACTATAGGTACACACACGTTTGCACACACATGCACGTGTTACACGCAAGAAACAAAGTGGATTGGAAATATAATTTGAAAGTATAGGCCTTAAAGTAGGCAGGATAACTTTTAAAAATTGTTACGGACGGGCTGGGAAGGTGGCTCAGAGGTAGAGTGCTTGCCTTGCATGCATGAGGCTCTGGGTTCGATTCCTCAGCACCACATAAGCAGAAAATGCAGGAAGTGGTGTTGTGGCTCAAATGGTAGGGTGATAGTCTTGAGCTGAAGAGCTGAGGGACAGCACCCAGGCCCTGAGTTCAGGCTCCACAACTGACAAAAAAATAATTGTTACGGAGCTGAGAATGACTTAGTGGTAGAGTCTTAGCCTTGAGCAAAAGAAGCCCAGGGACATGCGTACACACACACCACACACAGTGCTAGGTGCTCTACCATTTGAGTTATGCCTCAATTTGCAGTTTATTTTGGTAGTTTATTAGACATGAGTCTCACTGAACTGCCTTCTGAATTATAGCATGAGCCAGTGATGCCTGGTCTCCATTGTTTTTATTTATTTTTTGACTCCAGAAATGCAATACCCTAGAATAGTACCTTTAAAAATATTTGTATCTCCAATAAGCCAGCAGAAAGTGGGAAGCGGTGCTGTGGCTCAAGTGGTAGAGTACTAGCCTTGAGCACAAAGAGGCTCAGGGACAGAGACCAGGCCTGAATTCAAGCCCCAGGACCAGCAAAAACAATTAAAAAATTAAATAAAAAATATATGGATCATAACCTATTGTGAAACATATAAATATGCAGGCTTATGCACTCATTCTAACCCAGCACACGCAAAAATGTATTAAAAATTGCTAGATGTGATGTACTTTGATATTTTCTATTCTGCTGCTGCATTTTGATATTTAAAAGTTGACAATTGTGACTGCTTAAGTGATACAACGAGCCACTAATGGATCCATGCCTGAGACCCTGCCCCGTTCCACTCATTTACACTGAGCCGTTGAAACTATCGGGTTGTAGAGTGTTAGGCAGGAAGACTGTATGTGGTGACTAAAACAAGCGTCGTCAGGCGGAGGTACCCATGACAGTGGAGAGGTGTTCCTGACAGACCCGGGGTCCGGTTCTGTTCTAGGCCCTAGTGGGGCATCACCTGGGTCATTATGTAACCTCTTCAGCAGTCTGTGATGGAGATTCTCTTTTTCTGTAGACTGTTTTAAAGTAATACTCGTTTATTAATAATCATGAAAACCTACCTCAGATGTATTTATAAATAAATAAAATAGGGCTGGGAAGGTGGCTCAGTTGTAGAATGCTTGCCTCCCATGCATGAGGCCCTGGGTTCGATTCCTCAGAACCACATAAACAGAAAAAGCCGGAAGTGGTGCTGTGGCTCAAGGGGTAGAGTGCTAACCTTGAGCAACAAAAGCAGCTCAGGGACAGTGCCCAGACCCTGAGTTCAAGCTCCAGGTCTGACAAATAAAATATATTCTTGTTTTTTGGGGGGGGGTCCAGTCGTGGGGCCTGAACTCTGGGCCTGGGCACTGTCCCTCAGCTCTTCAGCTCAAGGCTAGTGCTCTACCACTTGAGCCACAGCACCACTTCCGGCTTTTTTCTTTTTGCTTATGTGGTGCTGAGGAATCAAACCCAGGGCCTCAGGCATGCAAGGCAAGCGCTCTACCACTGAGCCACCTTCCCAGCCCCTAAAATATATTCTTAAGTCCTGTGTCAGGCAGACTTCTGTTGCTGTGGCAGAATACCTGAGAAAATATGTCAAGGAGGAAGACCTGAGAGGGTACAGTGAGGGAGAGGGTCTGTTTGGCTCATCAGGTAGAGATAGTGTACAGAGCAGTCCTCACATAATGGCTGCCGGAAGCAGAGAGGATACCCACACCTAAAGGCGATCTCCTTTCTCTTTCTGTGCCGGGGCAAGCCCCCGCCTCAGTGAGATGGTGTTGCCACACTCAGGGTGTGATTCCCAACTTAGGTAATTTGTCCTAGGAAATCTCTTAGAGACACACCAGGGCTGTTCTTTACTAATCTGCGTAGGTTTTGTTTTGTTTTTGGTGCTGTTTCTGGGGCTTGAACTCAGGGATTGGGTGCTATTTCTGAGCTTTTTTGCTCAAAGCTAGAGCTTTACCCCTTGAGCCACAGCTTTACTTCTGCTTTTTTGGTAGTTAATTGGAAATAAGAGTCTCATGACCTTTCCTGCCTGGATTGTCTTTGAATCTTGATCCTCAGATCTCAGCCTCCTAAGTAGCTAGGATTACTACTGCCTGGCTTAATCTGGGTGTTTCTCAGTCCAGTTAAGTTGTTATTCAAGATTAATTATCACACATTCAGTGGTGTGTGTGTGTGTGTGTGTGTGTGTGTGTGTGTGTAAGTGTAAAGGGGGCGGGTCATAGGGCTTGAACTCTGGGCCTGGGCACTGTCTCTCAGCTCTTCAGCTCAAGACTAGTGCTCTACTACTTGAGCCACAGTGCCACTTCCGGTTTTCTGAGTGGTTTATTGGAGATAAAGAGTTTCACAGACTTTCCTGCCCGGGCTGGCTTTGAACCATGATCCTCAGATCTCAGCCTCCTGAGTAGCTAGGATTTACAGGCGTGAGCCATTGGTGCCCGGCTACATTTATATTTTTTGTATTATATTTTCTACCACACAGAAAATAAGTAATATGAACATTTGCTATTTATCGTTCTAGGTATTCTTCCAGGCATGTATGTGTGTATTTTTTTTTCAGAATTAGTTTGTATTCTTAACTATATGCTTATTCTCTCTCTTTCTCTTTCTGTCTCTTTTGGCCAGTCCTGGGGCTTGAATTTAGGAGTCTGTTATTCCTGAGCTTCTTTTGCTCAAGGCCAGCTCTCTACCACTTGGGCCACAGCGCCACTTCCAGCTTTTTTTGTATATGTGGTACTGAAGAATTGAACCCAGGGCTTCATGCATGCTAGGCGAGTACTCTATCACTAAGCCACGTTCCCAGCCTGCTTATTCTTTTTTTTTTCTTTGGTAGTCTTGGGGCTTCAACTCTGGGCTTGGGCTCTGCCCCTGCGCTCTTAAGCTCAAGGTCAGCACTCTACTACTTCAGCCACAGCACCACTTCCGGTTTTCTAGAGGTTTATTGGAGATAAGAGTCTCACGAGTTTCCTGCTTGGGCTGGCTTTGTACAGTAATCCCCATATCTCAGCCTCCTGAGTAGCTAGGATTATAGGTGTGAGCCACCAGTGCCCTGGCTCCACTTATTCTCTTAACAGTGTATCAGGAACAGTTTTCATGTCAATAAAGAATTATTTGTATCATTTTAAAAAATGTTGTGAGAAGTGTAGCTATAGCCCAAAGTGGAAGAGCACTAGCCTTGAGCAAAAGAGCTTACGGACAGCACTCAGACCCTGAGTTCAAGCCCCATGACCAACCATAAAACAAAACAACAACAAAAAAAACGATTTTGAGCTGGCTCTGGTGGCTCATACCTGTAATCCTGGCTGACTGGTGACTCACACTACTCAAGAGGTTAAGATCGGAGGATTTCAGTTGGAAGCCAGCTGGAGCAGGTGGCAGGAAAGACCATTTTGAGAGTCTTACCTCCATTCAGTTACCACAAAGGAGCCAGAAGTGGAGCTATTTCAAGTAGTAGAGTGCTAGCTTCGCGCAACAAAGCTCAGACCCCAAACTCAAGCCCCAGGACCAGCAAAAAATAAAAAGTTTTTAGCTCAGAAAGTTGGAAAAAAATAGTAGATAACAATTTTACTTAATATCCTGCTATATATCCTTTATTTTCTTTCAGTATCTTGGGCCTTTCTTTGTATTTCCTAATAATGCCCTTTTTAGGATTTTCTCTCTACCACAGGCCCTGCCCAACAGTTACACATTCTATAGTTATTGACATTGTTTCTTTTTAATAGATTTGTTTGTTCTTTTCAATGTATCTCATTTGTCTATTATTTAGGTGGTTTGTGATTGTTCTTAGTCTTTTGTTAAATTGCCACACACACACTTTTTTTTAATGCTAATCCTGGGGCTTGAACTCAAGGCCTGGGCACTGTTCCTGAGCTTTTGTGCTCAAGGCTAGTGCTCTACTGTTTGAGTCACAGCTCCATTTTCTGACTTTTGGTGTTACTTGAGACTAAGAGTCTGATAGACTTTCCTGCTTGGACTGGCTTCAAACGATGATCCTCAGATTTTAGCCTCCTGTGTAGCTAGGATTACATGTGTGGGGCACTGGTGCCTGACTCACAAATGTTTTACTGAGGGGCTGGGAAGGTGGCTCAGTGGTATAGCGCACTTGCTTTGTATGCATGAGGCCCTGGGTTCGATTCCCCAGGACCACATAAGCAAAAAGAAAAAAAAGCCGAAAGTGGCGCTGTGGCTCAAGTGGTAGAGCTCTAGCCTGAGCTGAAGACTGAGGGACAGCGCCCAGGCCCAGAGTTCTGGCCCCACGACCGGACCCCCCCAAAAAAAAAGCTTTACTGATGCCGGGCGCCGGTGGCTAACGCCTATAATCCTAGCTACTCAGGAGGCTGAGATCTGAGGATCTCGGTTAAAAGCCAGCCCGGGCAGGAACGGGAGACTCCTATCTCCAATAAACCACTAGAAGACTGGAAGTGGCACTGTAGCTCAAGTGGTAGAGCGCTCGCCTAGAGCTGAAGAGCTGAGGGACAGTGTCCAGGCCCAGGGTTCGAGCCCCATGACGGACAAAAAATAAATAAATAAAAATAAAAAATGTTTTACTGAGTCAGCATTTGAATTTAATAAGATCTACCTTTTGTGTGTGTTCACGTGCGTGTATATGTCAGTACTGGTTGAACTAATAGCTTTCCACTGTTACTTAACTTTTTTTTTTTTTTGGTTGGTGGTGGGGCTTGAACTCTGGGCCTGGGTGCTGTCTCCAAGCTCTTCAGCTCAAGGTGAGCATTCTACCATTTGAGCCACAATGCCACTTCCAGTTTTCTAGTAGTTAATTAGAGATAAGAGTTTTGTGGACTTTCCTGCCTGGGCTGGCTTGGAGCCGAGATCCTCAGATCTCAGCCTCCTGAGTAGCTGGGATTACATGTGTGAGCCACTGGTGCCCAGCTTGTTGCTTAGCTTTTTCACTAAAGGCTGAGCTCTTACATTTGCTCCACACCTGTAACTAGCATTTTGCTGATTTATTGGAGGTAAGAGTCTCTTGGATTTGTCTGCTTGGGCTGGCTTTGAACTGAAAGCTTCGTATCGCCACTTCCTTAGTAGCTTGGATTAGATGCTTGAGCCACTAGTGCCTGGCAAGAATTGACATGTATAGGTGTGAAATTAATAATCCTACTAGTGTATGTCATAATTCATTTAGAACCTCCTACAGTTAGATATTTGTATTTTAAAGCCTTAAAAGGTACATAAGTGGGCTGAGCACTAATATTTAACATCTCAAAACATATTTTCAAGCATAGAAATAGATTTATGAATCAAAATTCGTTTTCTCTTTTTCATCCCTAATAAGAAAGTTGGTCCTAAAATGCTGGATCATGAAGGGAAAGAAGTCCCAGGAAACCGAGGTTACAAGTACTTTGGAGCAGCAAAGGATTTACCTGGTGTTAGAGAGCTGTTTGAAAAAGAACGTAAGTAACTCATTTGTGAAGTTTTTTTAAGGCTCTATCCGTAACTTAAATATATACAATATGTGATAGTTGCTCTTCCTCCCTTTTTCTTTGCTACACAATAGATTTTTGGTTTTTGAGCCATTGTCTGGCAGGTCTGGACCTCAACCCCCTGACTCTGTCCCCAGAGGTGACTGGGGACCATTACTGATTACTTTGCATGCATGCATGTTTCACCCATGGCTGGGACCAGACTCATTTCAGTTTTCTTAGACCTAAGTAAATTATTGGTTTATTGGCTTATTGGCTCACTGAAAACCCCAGGAAAAGTTTTTTTTTTTTCCAGAAGTCGCTCAGTTCAGACTACATTTCTCTGTGTTTCCTATGTTGTAAGTTGCTTTTTCCATGTATGGAGGAAGTAACTCATTATCTGCTTGTCTCTTGTCCTCTCAGCAACAGGACACTGCCTTCTACCCTGGCATTTCAAGCAGATTTCCCAGAACTGCGTGAAATAGATTTTGATTGAATCAAAGTTGTTTTCTTGCCTTTTGGTGGTACTGGGGATGAAACAGGGTCTCATCTGAGCTAAAGCCCAGCTCTCTAACTGCATTAGTAAGCCATTCCCTGTAGAATTAAAGCTCTGAGCCAACTATGTAGGATGTATGTATGTATAACTCCAATTACTAACCTGTAAATTCCCATAGATTAAGACTGAGAGGAGTGAATTAATCTCCTGATATCAAAAGTAGTTAGTGGTTAGCAGTTAGTGGCTCATACCTATATTCCTAGTTATTCTGAGACTGAGATCTGAGGATCTTGGTTTGTAGCCAGCTCAGCAGGAAAGTCTGTGAGACTCTTAACTCTAATTAACCACCAAAATGTTGAGGTACAGCTGTAACTCAAGTGGTTGAACACTATTGAGTAAAATCCCTCCATGTAGATGTGTTTTCTATCTCAGTGGGGCTATGTGAAGGCCCTCTCTGGGCTGGCTTCTTCATCCCTCATACTTACCCTGTCACATGAAACTAAAACAAGAGAAAGGATTGCTTAAATATTTTGATTGTAACCCTTACTCTGGACCATCTCTCCCTTGTTTGCTTGATTATGGCTTCCTTTATTATTTGACATTATGACATTTCCTGTATTGTAGAGGTCCAGAGTATCTCATCCCATGCACATCCGAGACTTTGTTCTAGATTATTCCAGTTTTTCACTGTTACATAAATGTGCTATAGTGAGTATCTGTATACATGGAGCTTTCCTGTGAACTTAGAGAGTTTCTCTCTCTTTTTTTTTTTTTCTTTTGCAGGAGTGTTAGGTTCTAGGGATTGAACCTAGGACTTAGAGTTGGCTAACATGTTTTACTACTCAGCTACATTTCCAGCTGCTTTTTCAAGATTAGGATAGGTTCTGTTTGTTTGTTTTTGCAGTGCTAGGGAGTAAACACAGGGCCTTGAGCCAAAAGGCATTCTATTACTGCTGATCTATATTCCTAACTGGATAGACTCCTTTTATTTTTATTTATTTATTTATTTATTTTTTAATTTTTTGGGTCCGGTCGTGGGGCCTGAACTCTGGGCCTGGGCGCTGTCCCTCAGCAATTCAGCTCAAGGCTAGTGCTCTACCACTTGAGGATAGACTCCTTTTAAATGTACTAATTGAACCAAAACACGAGTTTTGTTTTGTTTTAATTAATTAATTAATTTTTTTGGTCAGTCGTGGGGCTTGAACTCTGGGCCTGGGCGCTGTTCCTCAGGTCTTCAGCTCAAGGTGAGCGCTCTACCACTTGAGCTACAGCATCACTTCCGGTTTTCTGGTGGTTTATTGGAGATAGGAGTCTCACGGTCTCTCCTGCCCGGGCAGCGATCCTCAGATCTCAGCCTCCTGAGTAGCTAGGATTATAGGCGTGAGCCACCAGCGCCTGGCTAAAACACGAGTTTTAAAGAGGTTTCTCCATTTATTCAGTCCCATGCATGCTACAGATACTTGTTTCATGATACTCTCTGACCATATGATGAAATGACCATGATGCCTTGTATGTCTGAAGATTTGATTTATCTGTGAATCAGCTGAGTTACCACTGTTTATTTTAGCTCTTCCTCCTCCCAGAAAGACACGTGCTGAGCTGATGAAGGCAATTGATTTTGAATACTATGGTTACCTAGATGAAGATGATGGTGTTATTGTGCCTTTGGAGCAAGAATATGAAAAGAAACGTAGGTCCACAGGGCTTCATTACAGAGGTTTTCTGTTTTCTCTTTTGAAACCAGGGTTTCAATAGTTCATTATGCCAGAAGGGGTTTCCTTTACTGCTGAGGGTCTTCAGAGGAACAGCAGTGGTCTGACCTGCAAGTCGGGCAGCGGTCAGGAACATACTGGGGCTAGGACAGCAGGCGGGGAGGCTGCAGAACTGTCTCTGGCTTGTCGCTGCCAGCCAGGAGGTCACCTGGATTTATTCCACAACGGTCTTCATTGAAGGTGCTCATGTTAGCAGTTTTTGGTTGTGCTTTACATACCACCAGTGTTTATTGATGGAAATCAAGGTAGGGTTCCTGTGAGTAGGCGTCACCTTTATGCAAAGCACACACATTGTAAGGAACACTTTAGTGTTCCTTCCCAGACTGCTCATGTGGGTGACATTCCAAAAAGCTGTCTTACAGTAGTAGCTAGAGATGCTATGGGACTAGACTACCCGTCATGGCCTCTTCCGACCCCAGGACAAAATCAGATTTTTCTTTTCAGAGGGAAAGCCTTGACCTTTCTAAGCTAGTGGTGAAAGGTTTTTGGAGACTGGAATAAACAGCTTCCATTTCCCTTGTCTTCAGTCAGAGCTGAGCTGGTGGAAAAATGGAAAGCAGAGAGAGAGGCTCGGCTGGCAAGAGGCGAAAAAGAAGAGGAAGAGGAGGAGGAGGAAGAGGAGGTCAACATCTATGCTGTCACTGAGGAGGAGGTACTGGCATGGGTTCTGTCTGGCACTCACTGCCCTCGGCTCCAAGCCACGAAAGACACTAGGGAAGAAGCTGACTTCAGACACAGTCTTGACCCTTGCAGGATGTCTGTGATGATTCCTCTGAGGATCACAGGGAGGGCTCCATAAAGGACTGCCCTGAGAGTTGCTTGTTAGCTGTGTTTGCAGCCAGATATAATTTTCTTCGTTAGAAGATTAGTCCCCCCGAATGAGCTAAAATGGGAGGTGTGAACCCTGTGGAAGTCACTCTGCTGGTAGCTGTCCGACCTGCCCATGTCACGGATGGAAGCAGGGCTGGAACAGGAGGGGAGTCGGACAGGTCCAGAGTGAGGCTGATTTGCTGTTTCCGGGTGGGGGTGGGGACCCCATGTGAGGGGCTATCTCAACTCCATGAGTAAGGCCTCAGGCCAGGAGAGGTTCATTACTGTCACAGAGGATATATATAGCAGACTGGAGTCCCACTCTGGTCCAGTTGACCCTGAGGATGATCAGTGGAGGTCTGACGTAGGGTGGCAGTGTGGCCCAGGAGGATTTTTCTAGATGGGATACTTGCTTATTCTGAGGTAGGTACTTCATTAGTAGCCACCACAAGCCAGGTGCATACAGGGCACAGTAGCCACACATGCAGATGCACAGGGGACGCACCCACACACAGATGCCTGGGAGACACCCACACACACATGTCCAGGAGACACACCCACTCACAGATGCCGAGACACACGCACATGCCCAGGAGATACACACACACACACGCCCAGGAGACATACCCACTCACAGATGCCTGGGAGACGCACACACATGCCCAGGAGATACACACACACTCACAGATGCCGAGACATACGCACATGCCCAGGAGATACACATATACACACACACGCCCAGGAGACAGACCCACTCACAGATGCCTGGGAGACACACACACACACACGTCCAGGAGACGCACCCACTCACAGATGCCTGGGAGACACACGCACACACATGTCCAGGAGATACACACACACACACGCCCAGGAGACATACCCACTCACAGATGCCGAGACACACGCACATGCCCAGGAGATACACACACACACACATGCCCAGGAGATACACACACACATACCCAGGAGACACACCCACTCACAGATGCCGAGACACACGCACATGCCCAGGAGATACACATATACACACGTCCAGGAGACATACCCACTCACAGATGCCGAGACACACGCACATGCCCAGGAGATACACACACACACCCAGGAGACACACCCACTCACAGATGCCTGGGAGACACACACACATACACATGCCCAGGAGATACACACACATACCCAGGAGACATACCCACTCACAGATGCCGAGACACACGCACATGCCCAGGAGATACACACACACACACACACACACACACCCAGGAGACACACCCACTCACAGATGCCCAGGAGACGCACACACACACAGATGCCTGGGAGACACACACACATACACATGCCCAGGAGACACACCCACTCACAGATGCCGCACATGCCCAGGAGATACACATATACACACGCCCAGGAGACACACCCACTCACAGATGCCGAGACACACACACATGCCTAGGAGATAGACACACATACACATACACAGGAGACACACCCACTCACAGATGCCGAGACACGCACATGCCCAGGAGAGAGACACACACACACACACACACACAGGAGACACACCCACTCACAGATGCCGAGACACATACACACAGATGCCCAGGAGATGCACACACACACAGAAGACACACCCACACACATGCCCAGGAGACACACCCACTCACAGATGCCCAGGAGACACACCCACACACACATGCCCAAAAGACACACTCACACATGCATGCACTTGCCCAGGAGACACACTCACATGCACATGCCCAGAAGGAAATAGGACTTGACTATGACTTATAGATGCAGTCCTGTCCAGGATTGCTCTGACAGTCTAATGTTTCACCATTCTAGTATATACACTCACACACAGGTAATGAACTGTGCTCTCATATCTGGTGCATAGCTTGTTCCTATTTCCAAGGCACCCTGATACTCTTGGGTCTGATGTGCATGGTTTGTTTAAGGGCCATTTGCAGCTCCTGCAAATAGAGTTGCATTGTTTATACACAATGTGAAATTTCCAGGCTATAGGGCAAGTGTGTGTTTAGTGTTAACAGAACTGGCTTTCCTGTTTTGTTTTTGTGCTGGTCCTGGAGTTTAAAAGTCAAGGCTTGGGTACTGTTCCTCGAGCCATCCCTTCACTTCTGGCTTTTTGGTGGTTAATTGGAGATAAGAGTCTCATGGACTTTCCTGCCTGAACTCTGGGCCTGGGCACTGTCCCTCAGCTCTTCAGCTCAAGGCAAGCGCTCTACCACTGAGCCACCTTCCCAGCCCTGCCTGGGCTGGTTTTGACGATCCTCAGATCTCAGCCTCCTGAGTAACAGAATTACAAGTGTGAGCCACTGATGCCCAGCCATACATGGGTAAAAATTGATCTTTCTGTATAGTTTATTTTTTCATTTAAAATTTTAAAAATATATTAACAAGGTTCAAAAATGAAAAGATATTCAACAAAGATTCTCTTTTTTTTTGTCGGTCTTGGGGCTTGAACTTTGGGCTTGGGTGCTATTCTTGTGTTCTTCAGCTCAAGGTGAGCATTCTACCGCTTGAGCCACAGCACCATTTCCGGTTTTCTGGTGGTTTATTGGAGATGAGTCTCATGGTCTTTCCTGCCCGGGCTGGCTTTTGAACCTCGATTCTCAGATCTCAGCCTCCTGAGTAGCTAGGATTACAGACGTCAGCCCCTGGTGCCCAGCCAAATACTCTCTTTTCTTTTTTGGGAGTCCTGTCATAGGGCCTGAACTCTGGGCCTGGGCACTGTCCTTCTTGAGCTCTTCAGCTCAAGGCAAGTGCTCTACCACTTGAGCCACAGCGCTACTTTGGGCCTTTTCTATACCTACAGTCCACCAACTTTTCACTGCTGCTTATAGTTTCTGTCCTACTTTCTCTCCATATGTAAAACAGCATTCTGTGCCTTTTCTCTTTAATAACTTATCTTGTGTGTCTTCTTGTGTTAGTATGAGACTTCTTCATTCCTTTGCTTTCAAACAGCTTAAGAGTGGTATATTTTACCGAGATTTCTACATTCATGTACCTAGTTTCCTATGATGATCTCTGTCTCTGTTTGTAGTCTGATGAGGAAGGCAGCATGGAGAAGGGAGGGGAGGATGGGCAGCAGAAGTTCATCGCTCATGTTCCGGTGCCATCACAGCAGGAGGTAGGAGGGAAGCTGAGAGCCGCTGGGGGTGGGGGGTGGCCAGGACTGAGGCTGCTCCTCCAGGGCAGGCTCTCTCAGTGCTTTCCTTTGTATTCTGGATCTTTCAGTTCCACTGGGCGACCCAAAGTCCTGTGCTCATAAAAGGGTGCAGGATCCACAAAAGGCAGGACTCTGCTCTAGGTGGAAATGACAAACACATGCTTTTGTTCACATGGTCCCAATGGGAATGGGTTGGGTGTAACAGACCACTCTGGGTGTAAGTGTAGTGAAAGTCTGGCTTCTTGATATTGCCCGGGCCGGGCCAGGCAGGGCAGGGGCTGGATGCCGTGCTGAGGAGTGAGTCCTTTACTCTGTGTCCACAGATTGAAGAGGCCCTTGTGCGAAGGAAGAAAATGGAACTGCTTCAGAAATACGCCAGCGAGACCCTTCAGGCTCAAAGTGAAGAAGCCAAGAGGCTCCTGGGATATTAGGGCAAGGGGGTGTTCTCATTGGAGTCTGGAGGACATGGTGAAGGCCTGTGACCACCCTTCCCAGGACCACCCACACACGCAGCTGTGGCAGGCCCACCTGGAACCCTTTCTCATCCTTTATCCTTGCACCTTTTCCTGCCTCATCAGCTGGTCTGAGGGTAGGATTCTGTCCCTCGTCTCCCTGTAGCTGTCAGGGTATGAACACCGTGGCCACCAACTTCCTACAAATGTCTTTGCTACCCTATGAATCCATTTAGTTTTATATAGGGATGTGTAAAACAGGTTGTCACCTAGCTAAGTGTTTTACTCCATGACTTTGAAAGTAGGAGAATCAACTACAGAGGCAGCATAAAAAATGTGGTTTTTCCTATCTTCTCCTGAAAACTGAGTCTCAGTTTCCGTTAGCCAGAGCCACCTGAAGTATCTGCTTTACCTCTGTGCCTGGCTGGGGGAAAGGAATTTAAGCTAGAAGCATCTGTTTTATTACCTGCTCTGTAGACAGCTATTTTTATTAAAGATTTTTATAAGAAAGGAAACCTCTGTGGCTGCACTTTGTTCCCTCAGGCCCGTGAAGGGTGCCGTGCCGCAGGGGTACCCTGAGCACCAGCCTGGGTGGGGCATCCACAGACCAGGTCTGGGCTCCCATGTTGGAGTGAAGGCAGTCTGTTTATGTTGCATTTCTTAGAGGATACCTGCCATTTCTTTGGCTACAGAGTATACTGAGAGCTGCCCAAGTGAGGAGCCGTCCTGGTACCAGCACAGAGCATCCAAGTCTGCAACTGCTGCTGCCAGTCTTTGCTTTACTGCTGTGTTCAGTTCTCTGGTGTTTTCCAACAAGCGTTCCTGTATTACAGGCATGGGTTTCATGGTTGGTATCTGTCCTCATGGAATTGTTTCACTCATCTTAGATTGGGTGCTTATTTTCAATACTAGTCATAGTAATGTTACACAAGGAAAATTGAGTGATATTATTATAGGCTATATATTTTAGTGATGATAACTTCAGACATAAAAAGATGCAAAAAGGCATTTTCTTTTCTTTTTTTTGGGGGGGGTCTGGTCGTGGGGCCTGAACTCTGAGCCTGGGCACTGTCCCTCATCTCTTCAGCTCAAGGCTAGCGCTCTACCACTTGAGCCTCAGCGCCACTTCCGGCTTTTTTCTTTTTGCTCATGTGGTGCTGAGGAATCAAACCCAGGGCCTTAGGCATGCAAGGCAAGCACTCTACCACTAAGCCACCTTCCCAGCCCCTTCTTTTTTTTTTGGTGGTCATGGGGTTTGAACTTGAGGTCTGGGCACCCTCCCTGAGCTTTTGTGCTTAAGGCTAGCATTCTACCACTTGAGCCACAGGTTCACTTTTAACTTTTAGTGATTAAATGGAGATAAGGGTCTCATGGATTTTCCTGCCCTGGCTGGCTCTAAACCATGATCTTTAAATCTCAGCCTTCTGAGTGCAAGTGCCTGGCAAATTCTTGGCTTTTTCTTTTTCCTGTTATTTTATTTTTATTTTTTTGTCGGTTGTGGGGCTTGAACTCTGAACCTGGGTGCTGTCCCTCAGATCTTCAGCTTAAGGCAACTGCTCTACCATTTGAACCACAGCACCACTTCCAGTTTTCTGGTGGTTTATTAGAGATAAGAGTCTCATCGCCGGGCGCTGGTGGCTCACGCCTGTAATCCTAGCTACTCAGGAGGCTGAGATCTGAGGATCACGGTTCAAAGCCAGCCCGGGCAGGAGAGACCGTGAGACTCCTATCTCCAATAAAACCACCAGAAAACCGGAAGTGGAGATGTAGCTCAAGTGGTAGAGCGCTCGCCTTGAGCTGAAGAGCTGAGGGACAGTGCCCAGGCCCAGAGTTCAAGCCCCACAGCCGACCAAAAAAAAAAAAAAGAAAAAAAGAAATGCAGAAAAAAAGAGTCTTAGGGACTTTCCTGTCTGGGCTGGCTTTGAACCTTGATCCTCAGATCTCAGCCCCCTTGATTAGCTAGGATTACAGGCTTGAGCCACTAGCGCCCAGCAAGATCTGCTTTTTAATTATACATTTAATTATTTTTATAAAGTTCCTGAGTTATGCAACTCTTCCTACTGTCCAGTTTTTTGTTTTTGTTTTGTTGGCTGTGGGGCCTGAACTCTGGGCCTGGGTGTTGTCCCTCAGCTTTTCAGCTCAGGGCTAGCACTCTACCACTTGAGCTACAGCGCCACTTTGGCTTTTCTGCTTATGTGATGCTGAGGAATTGAACCCAGGGCCTCAAGCATGCTAGGAAAGCGCTCTACCACTGAGCCACCTTCCCTGCTCCAACAGTCCAGTTTATAATGCTTTCAGTATTCCACAGATGCAAATGGTGGGTGCCTTTTCATAAAATCCAGTCCAGACCAGTTTGCCTCCCCTCTCTTCCCAGCTGAAGGCCGTCAAAGTCAGTTAAACACATCTACCTCTGTCCAAGTTCCTCTTCTCTCTTAGCCTACTCCTGGATTCCTCTTCCACCTTTCGCTGTGAGTTGCAGCTCAGAGCTGGAGGTATTCCCAGTCCTCCAGAGCCAGAGCCAGGTCTAGTATTAGAAATTTTCCATACCTTCTGTCTCAGTCTGGGAAGGGAAGATGTTGCTTGCCACTGCGATTCCCCACTTCTGCCTGATACAACGAAGAATTCCTTTTGGTGCCATGTCAGGGTTTCCTGCCTACAGCTGCTGGGGTTTTCCCATGGGAAAGCTCCATGGGAGGGGAGTTCAGACTGTCTCAGAACAAACCACCCTGCCTTCCCATATTTTAGCTTCTGTCTCCTTATCCACTTGGGCAGTGGAGTGGTGTCCTATTCCCCAGGGTCTGCTGAAGCTTCTGGAAGGGTGCCTTTCCTTTTCTGCTGGAGAGAGTTGGACTCATTCCAAGGTCCTAGCACCAAACCTGGCCCGAAGCAGGCATTCAGATTTGTTGGATGAAGTAGTGTTCCAGGGGGCTGTATGGTGGGCTCTATGGTGGGCTGTATGGCTGTATGGTGGGCTCTATGGCTGTATGGTGGGCTCTATGGTGGGCTCTATGGCTCTATGGTGGGCTCTATGGCTCTATGGTGGGCTGTATGCTGTATGGTGGGCTCTATGGCTGTATGGTGGGCTCTATGGTGGGCTGTATGGCTCTATGGTGGGCTCTATGGCTGTATGGTGGGCTCTATGGCTCTATGGTGGGCTCTATGGTGGGCTGTATGGCTCTATGGTGGGCTCTATGGCTGTATGGTGGGCTCTATGGTGGGCTGTATGGCTCTATGGCGGGCTCTATGGTGGGCTGTATGGCTCTATGGCGGGCTCTATGGTAGGTTGTATGGCTCTATGGTGGGCTCTATGGCTCTATGGTGGGCTCTATGGTGGGCTCTATGGCTCTATGGCGGGCTCTATGGCTCTATGGTGGGCTCTATGGCTCTATGGTGGGCTCTATGGCTCTATGGTGGGCTCTATGGCTCTATGGTGGGCTGTATGGCTCTATGGCGGGCTCTATGGCTCTATGGCGGGCTCTATGGCAGGTTGTATGGCTGTATGGTAGGTTGTATGGCTCTATGGCGGGCTGTATGGCAGGTTGTATGGCTGTATGGCAGGGCCACTGTCTGGGGAGCAGGGAAGCCCTCTGGGCGATGGGTACCACCTGATCCACTGCAGCTTCTCCCAGGTGTTTGGTCCTCCCCTTCGCTCCCTCTCGACCCGGACCAGCCTCACCATTTGGCCGGCTGTCCTTTGGCTGGGCGCTGAGGCAGGCCTGGGAGTCGGGGCTCCCCGCGGGCCGGGGCTGGGCCAGCAAAGCTACCTCGAGCCTGAGCCGGGGGCGGGGCTGGCTGGGGACTAGCGGCGGGCTTCCGGGAGGTGGATGGCCTGGGGGCGGGGCTGGCTGGGGACTAGCGGCGGGCTTCCGGGGAGGTGGATGG